AAAACCATAACTAAATATTACAGAAAACATAGCTTTATATAAGAAGTCCAAGAAATTACTTAGGTTATTTAATGCTTGACATAAATCTTAAAAAACCATGAGTAGTGCTTCTGTAGCATTCCAAATGTTATATTTCTTCAGCTTCTAAACAAATTCAAGCATCTTATTAATGACCAAAAATGTTCATTTTTTTTCTTATTTTATTCTCCTTCAAAGAGCTTTAGATTTTTATATTTCTTAATGAATCCCCTCCCTCATTTTATTTTTTTTTCTGCAGAGTGTATTATGTGACCATGGTTGGGTTAACTACACTGCCTTATAAACATTTTGGCCCATTTTACAAAGGGAAAGAATATGCTTACAAAGAAAATATCAGTTTGGCATGTTGTCAAGGCAACCAGCCATATAGTATAGTTTCCTTTAACTTGCACGTTAGATATTCCTGTGGTGGAGTATAGAATTGGGCCCAACCTCTTCCTTCAAGAGGAAGAGAAATTGGATAGGAATAGCTTTGCAATTTGCTGTTACAGTAACAGCAACAATAAAGACTGACTAATGAGTCAGTCCAAGCCCTGTGTGGGTAATTGAGCAGGCCGGCCTGCATGAAGTAGCAACCCGATAACCGCCTGGGCCGGAGGAGCCACAGAACCCACTGCCTGGCCTTGGCCATCGTCAGCTTCATTTTCTGCTAGGCAATGTCAGAATTCCTGTGTTTCAAGGATATTGAATAAAGCATAACATATAAGCTACTGTGTTTTATGTTCAACAAACAGGTTGGGCACAATGTTAGATAAGTTACGTATTTTTTTAACTCTTCATTTGTTCCTGAATTTCTCTTGTCATATTATAGTACGTATGAATCATTTATTTTAGTTGGTGGGGAGGGGAGGAGGGAAGGATATCTTAGCTAAGTCAGTTTTCAACATGTCTATCAGTCTTTGTTTCATGCACTCATCTTTGCTTCCGTTTTTTTTCTCTACATGAAATATTTATTGTAGTTTGCATCTGTGTACACTGTAGCATGGGTAAATGATAATGAATATGACCTAATTTGCTGATGATTTTTTCTAAGCATTTGGAATGGTGTATTTTACTTAAATATCTAGCAAAGTTTGATTTAAAACTACAGATGGCTCATTGGATCTGATTAATGACTTAGGCCATATATGTTTCAAAACTCCTTTAGACAGTAAGGTGCTTTTTTGTGTGTAAAGCTTAAACCATGGGGATTTAAATAGGGATTTTCCAGCATACAGATCTGGGACTTAACTGGCATGTGGAGAGCTCTGGAAGAATGAACATTTCACTCCCACTTCCCAGGCCTTTTATCATTCTAAATCACAAGTCAGGGGCCTGGCAATGAAGTCCTTTCTGTGTCCGTGTTTAAGAAGGCTTTAAAAGCTGAACTTAAGGCTCTTTTCAGTGAAGTATGTTCTGTAGGTGCCAAATAAATCTAAAGGCAAGGAGGTTGCTGTCTTTGTTATTGCTGGTAAAGAGATTTACTAGCTGAGATTTTTCTGTTCCTGCAGTTACATCACCAACTCCTATAAAGATTATTGTATCTATTAAAACTGAAGATCACAAACTTTTTGAACATAGATACTATGCCTTCACTTGCATAAACTTACATAATGCATTGTATATATGAGTTTATTAGTGATGTGTTCAGAGGAAAGAATTGCTTACAATTTAATGCACGGTTTTATGTGTTGTCCATAATCATTTATTTGCATCATTCATTTATTCATTTAGCAAATGTGTATTGAGTGCCTACTATGCACTGGGCCCTTCTCTAGAAACTAGGAAATCAAAAATCAGTAAGACACATTCCTTGCTCTCATGAAGGTTATAGACTAATACAGGGTAAGCAGACTAACAAGCAGAATAGAATCCGACTCCTGTAATAGAACAGGCCTAGGG